TAGGGTATTTGGGGTGTTACCTTGAATACTAATGTGATATGGTGTGAAAAGGGAGAAGTGGGCCGGGTGCAGTGGCTCACGCCTGTAATCCCAGCACTTTGGGAGGCTAAGGTGGGCAGAAAATCACCTGAGGTCAGGAGTTTGAGACCAGCCTGGGCAACATGGTGAAACCCAGTCTCTACTAAAAATGCAAAAATTAGCCAGGTGTGGTGGTGGGAGCCTGTAATCCTAGCTACTCGGGAGGCTGAGGCAGAAGAAGCGCTTGAATCCAGGAGGTGGAGGTTGCAGTGAGCCGAGATCGTGCCACTGCACTCCAGTCTGGGTGACAGCATGAGACTTTGCCTCAAAAAAATAAATTAATTAATTAAATTAAATAAAAAAAAGAAAGCAAGAAAAGTGAGAAGTGGGGCAGGGAGAGGGGTGTGAAGACATAGATGCATATGATTCCAGTTTTCCGTAAAAACTAGAAACAACCTCCATCTGGAAAAAGGCATAGGGTTTAAGAGCACAGGTTCTGGAATCACAGTGCCTGAATTTGAATCCCAGATCCACCATTTATATGCTGTGTGCCCTTGGCCAAGTTATCTCTATACAGAGGTGCTATGAGGATAAAATATAATAATCCACATAAAGCATTTAGCACAGAGCCTTGCACAAAGTAAATGCTCAACAAATGTTAGATCATCATCCTTATCTCCATACTATCATCATCAGCTTTAAATTTTCATCTATTGTTAAAAATCCAAATGGTAAAAGAATGATAACCCAACACTGATTCCCAAAGGACTTAGAGATCAAAAGTGGCAAAGTTGTGCTCAGGAAGGTTCCATTAAAAACAGTGGCCCAGAGGAGGAATCCAGAAATATTTTTGTAGTCTTGATTGCCTACTTTCCTGTCCACAGAAGAAACACTGAAGTATGTCAATGCTATTGGCAGGGGTGGCCACAGAGCAGCTCTCTGCCTGGCTGTGAGGTTGCCAACCAGAGCCTTTATCTGCTGTCCCAGAAAATCCAAGTGGTGAAAAATAAGATGAACCAAACAAACGACCAGGGAGAGCTGGAGTTTTGGCATGGCCTTCAAAGAGCACCCATGTAGTAAAAGCACAGTGAAGCATCCCATTGGGTGGGAAATTTTTACCCAAAAAGTCATAGATTCTACAATAAAGGGACATAAAGCTGTCTGGCAGGAAGGACATTTGTGACCTGTTATTATTCAATTAAACCAATGCAATTAGACAAACGGTCACAGTCTCTTTTTTTTTTTTTTTTTTTTGAGACAGACTTTTGCTCTGTCCCCCAGGCTGAAGTACAGTGGTGCGATCTTGGCTTACTGCAACCTCTGCCTTCCAGGTTTAAGCAATTCTCATGCCTCAGCCTCCAGAGTAGCTGGGATTACCGGCGTGTGCCACCATGCCTGGCTAATTTTTTGTATTTTTTTTTTTTAGTAGAGACAGGGTTGCACCACGTTGGCCAGGCTGGTCTTGAACTCCTGACCTCGTGATCCACTCGCTTCGGCCTCCCAAAGTGCTGGGATTACAGGCGTGAGCCATTGCGCCCGGCCCACAGTCTCTTTTCAAATGACTATTCCAATTCACTTTGAGGCAGAAGGCACAGGCTCCAATGGTCTGCATTGAGGAGAAATGATTTAGAGTCAAAAGAAAATAAACATAAAAGGTGAGAGGAGTCACACAGAGCTGAAACCTGCCAGTACACTCACCCCAGTCAGTGCAAAGTTAGAAAGAGAATTTGCATACAGCCCCTGGGAAGCTGGCCTACAGTTTAACCTCCTCAATTTATTTAACAAACCTAAGTAATACACTTTCTTCACGCACATGCTTCTCAACTAAAATCTAGTCTCAATTAGCAAATCTCATAAAATTGCTGTGATATTTGGCAAAACTTTCCTCTTGAACTATTATATAAGAAAACATTGAACTCTCAGTACAATTATACTAAGTTTAAATAAAAGTAATTACCTAATTTGCAACAGAAATTACTTATAAAATACCACCAGGCTCAAAAGAAGAATAGATGAATTGCTGGAAGTTATACTGCTGCAATATTAATGCCTAATTATTGTCTGGCATGGGAAAAAGCAAGCTGCTGCCTTCAATTACTAGCAGAATTACCTCTCTCAAAATAGTTACAAGTAACAGATGGAATCCGAGGTAGCTGCTCTTATTGTTAGAGACGTTTGAACCAGAGTGACTCTACCTTGAATAGGGCTGGGTAAAATGAGGCCGAGGCCTACTGGGCTGCATTCCCAGGAGGTTAGGCATTCTCAGCCACAGGATGAGAGAGGAGGTCACAAGATACAGGTCATAAAGACTCTGCTGATAAAGCAGGATGCAGTAAAGAAGCTGGCCGAAACTGGCCAAAAACCCCCAAAACCAAGATGGCAATGACAGTGACCTCTGGTTGTCCTCACTGCTCATTATACACTAATTATAATACATTACCAAGCTAAAAGACACTCCCACCAGCACCATGACAGTTTACAAATGTCATAGTAAAGCCTAGAGGTTACCCTATATGGTCTAAAAAGGGAAGGAACCCTAGTTCCAGGAATTGCCTGCCCCTTTCCAGGACAACTCATGAATTACCCACCCCTTGTTTAGCATACTATCAAGAAATAACCATAAAAATAGCAACCAGCAGTCTCTGGGGCCGCTTTGTCTATGGAGTAGCCATTCTTTTGTTTCTTTACGTCTCTAATAAACTTGCTTTCACTTTACTCTGTGGACTCATCCCCAAATTCTTTCTTGGGTGAAATCTAAGAACCCTCTCTTGGGGTCTGAATTGGGACCCCTTTCTGGTAAGGAAACCACTTCCATAGTACAAAACAGAGCCAGCTGCTTGCTGCCCAATTGTGATTACTCTGCAACACAATTTATTTCTCCTGAACCCAATAAAAAGGAACTATTTGGACCATCCATTTATATAAAGACTGGGTCTGTTATAACTTTCAAATGGTTGAAAACCAATCCATAAAAGTAAAAAAACAACAACAACAAAAATGTTGCCGAGAACATCTCATGTACATTTCACATCAACTTTAGGACAGCGAAAATGAATTAAAGATTATTTTGCTTCTTCAAACAGAATAGTTGAGTATTACAACTGAAAGGACCTTCTGGAAGTCACCCAGTCCAAACCTCTCCTTTCCAGATAAAGAAAATGAAACCCAAAGAGGTGGTGGTAGGGGGTGTTCTCCAAGGTCCCACAGCCAGTTAGCAGAGAAAGCTAAAAGCAGTGCCTTAGGCTCCCAGCTCCAATCCAGTGTGCCTGCCACCTATACTCTTCTGCCATTTTGAGGGAGCACATACATTCATAGGAAGGGGGCAGATGCCACCACAGGTATCACAATTGGAATGGCACAGCTGTTTTCACAAAGATTAATCAACCAAATAAGACACTAGACAGTACCCGCATGCCTCTGTTCTGGTAGGTCCTGCCCACTGTCCAGGGTCACCCCTGCTGCCTAGTCTTGCCAAATCCCAATCCAACACGCTCAGATCAGGAATGCCATGCCAGGGCCACCCCAAACCCTAGATCTGGTGTCAGCACCACCCAGCAGATCTTCCAACTAATGCCCAGCAACTGCAGCCAGACAGTGTGCTGGCTTTTTTTTTTTTTTTTTTTTTTTTTTTTTGAGACGGAGTCTCGCTCTGTCGCCCAGGCTGGAGTGCTGTGGCCGGATCTCAGCTCACTGCAAGCTCCGCCTCCCGGGTTCCCGCCATTCTCCTGCCTCAGCCTCCCAAGTAGCTGGGACTACAGGCGCCCGCCACCTCGCCCGGCTAGTTTTTTGTATTTTTTAATAGAGACGGGGTTTCACCGTGTTAGCCAGGATGGTCTCGATCTCCTGACCTTGTGATCTGCCCATCTCGGCCTCCCAAAGTGCTGGGATTACAGGCTTGAGCCACCGCGCCCGGCCTTGTGCTGGCTTTTGTCAAGGCCCTTGGTGCCCAGGTTCCTCTGTGCCCCTCAGAATGGCAAGAGGCAGCCTGTAGCTCTAACCCTGAAATATCTAATCCTGCTTGGAATCTACTTTACTCTCCCAGCCTTCTCTCGGTTTGACACCCTTAGATATCAATGTTTCTAGATTGTGACAACTGTGATTGCCTAGATATCCCATGTGACATTTGGTTCCACCCCTCAGACACTGCCAGCTGCCTGGTATGTTCTTGCTTGTTTATACCCCTTGGAGCTATGATGCAGGTCCTTGTCAGATGCTCTTCTCACCGCCCACAGGGCCTCATATATCCATTCCTAACATTTGTTAGGGCCCAGCTCTGCCTCTCTGCTGCTCTGGCGGGCCAGGCCCATGCCAGGTCTGGCTCTGCCCTGCCTGTCCTCTCAGGTACTGATGTCACATCCCTTAGGGCACATCCTTCCTTTTCTCACAGAAGATACAGCTTGCTGAATGTTCCTGCTTGTGGAGAAAGGGGCATGCTTGGCTTCAAGCAACAAATGTGGTTGTGCAAAATTCTGAAAACTGAATTATAAGATGCATTTTGGGCAGTGGTTCTCATCTGTTACACCTAAGATGAATAATGTTCACATATTCTCAAAGGCATCTGCAATTTTGATAGAGTAACACAATAGGTTATAGCCACCATAACCTTTAGTAGTAGATCACAGAAAGATGAACTGTGGATTGTGTGCAATTCCCAGGACATGGGACTAACTAGAACACTTTTTTGCATACTCAAGGAAGCATATTTGAATGCAAGGGAGAGTGACCTTATGACAGGAACAACCTAGACCTGATATTTTTCACAAAGGAAATCATTTTCAAATAGATTACTTACAACTAAGCCGTAATGGCTGTAAGAGAACCAGCTAAAGAAAGGACTCTTCGGGCAAAGAATGGTCTTCTAAAATAACTAACTGGCCCTTTAGTTATCTTATGAATAAAACTGGACTTTGATTTACAGTATTGGGTCTTCTTAATGAGCAGCGCTCAGGCCCCATGCTCTGATCATGCCTCCCAAAGCACACCTTTAGATTCTACTTCATGGTGGATCACAGCAAGGGGCTTGGTGAACGTCTTCTTATTCTGCATCATAGCCCAGATTATCGAGGCATCCAGCGAGGTGCAGGCTTCGTCAGGAGGCACGCACTGCAGAGAGGCAGAGCAAAGCACAGAATCAGGGGTTGCTCAAAAGTGCCTTCACCAGCTCTACCTGCACAGCTGTGCTGTGGCCTTTTATCAGACAGCATACAGTCATTCACTACAGAAAAGCAAGAAGGTGGGTGTTTTTCAGAGAACACCAGATAACCTGGGAGATATCACAGCAGGCCCAGTAGATTTTTGGTTGTACCTGAAGATGCAAATATCACTGGATAGCTTCTCAATATTGTCCTCCCCCTCCCCCTCTTCCCACAAAACTAAACATTTTAGTGTTAGTTTGAAAAATAGAAAAACTAGTATGCCTAGTGTTGGTCCTCACCAAGCTGGCTTCATATACACGGTTCATGTTTGTGATTGGTGATTGTGGGAAATTTCCTGTAAAGATGCTCCTCAACTAATGATGAGGTTACATCTTGACAAACCCATTGTAATTGAAAATATCACTAAGTTGAAAATGCATTTAATACACCTAAAGTACCGAACAACATAGCTTAGTCCAGCCTGCTTTAAACATGCTCAGAACACTCACATTAACCTACAGTTGGATAAATCATGTAACACAAAGCTTATTTCATAACAAAGTGTTGACCAGCTCACATAATTTATTGAATACTTTACTTAGAGTGAAAAACAGAATGGTTGTATGGGGACTGTCTATATTGCATTATGAAGGTGACAGATTTTATATTTTTGTCCAAAAAGATAATTATGTTGTTGAGTTTGTTTCATTTTTAATTCTGGTATAGGCTCATGTAAAACTAAGCTTTCCAGGGTCATCTGTTTTTAATGTTTCAAAATGCAGATCCTGGGGAGCTGTGCCCAGGTTGTGGAGGCCATGAGGTCAGCTGCTTCTATTCTATTTCAAGGCCTCAGAACTATTAATGAGCATGCTCAGGCCCACTACATCTGTTTTGAAAAGATATGATCACACTCCCCACTTTTTCTTTAAAATAACTTTGGTTTCTTGTCTATACTTATCAATAGGTATAATTTTTTTTTATTTTTCTTGAGACAGGGCTTTGCTGTGTTACCTAGGCTGGAGTGCAGTGGTACAATCATGGGTCACCACAGCCTTGGCATCATAGGCTCAAGTCGTACTCCCGCCTCAGCCTCCCCAGTAGCTGGGACTACAGGTGTGCACCACTATACCCAGCTAATATATATATAGTAGTGACGGGGTCTCACTACGTTGACCAGGCTGGTCTCGAACTCCCAGTGATCTGCCCACCTCAGCCTCCCAAAGTGCTAGGATGACAGGCATGAGCCCACGCCCAGCCTAATAGGTATAACTTTAAAGTAAATGACAGCTTCTGTGGCAAGAAGACATATTAATACATCCATCATTTTAAACATCTATAGCAGGCATCCCAAAAAGCTAACTGAGTTCCATCTTTTCCAAACACAAAAGAGCAAAGACTTTAGGCCTTGCTGTCATTGCTGCTCTGAGCAACATGCCAGTCAGACACTTCTTATAAGACAACACTCACCGCCCCACTCCTACCCCCTCAAAAAGAGAAAAGCCTTTAACAAGAGCCCTCTTATAAAGAAAAACAACACATTTTCTGTGGAGGGGCATGATGATTGACAAGATTTGCATTTTGCTTTCCTGTTTTAGTTTACTGTTACTTTCCTACTGAGCTCTTCAGTTGAGCAAGAGTCTATGATTCTACATTTAACGCAGTGGTCTGTGACCCTGGGCAAGACACTGTACTCTCTGGGTCTCCGTTTCATCAGCAAAGGGCAGGGTTGGTCTCAACAATCTCTGACACCTCTTCCTAGAAGATGCTTTGGCTCTCTCTATTGTCACAGAAAACACTCAGAAAATAATAGCAATGTGAAAATATTACCTATAAGCAGCAAACAGGAAGACAGTGGTAACAGCTCATCCAAGCCTCTGATGGATAAAGGGTGGGCTGTCATTGTACCTCCTCTACTGAGGAGGGAAGCCAGGTATGATTATAACAGTTTTATAAATACAGACTCTGAGGGGTCCAGGGACTGACTTAAAGTTCCATTGGTGGCAGCAGACCCTCCTTCTCAATCCCAGGCTCTTTCCATGTTATCTTATCTTGGGGCTAAAGGGTGACTTAAGGTTTAGGGTTATACCCCATCATGTCATCCCCTGAGGTTTAGAACTCTCCTTAAGAGTGTTCTGGAAGAAAATTTTAGGATTAATTTTCCCAGATTAACACACATGAAGCTGGGCTGTTCCAGGCCAGGTCAGAGAGAAGTAACAGCCAAAGCCACAGTAAAGATCCCTGGTAACTGCTAGCCCTCCCCTCCAAGACCTCTAACCCTTAAACGTTACCCTTCTGCCCACAGGAAGCAGCTGGTCCCGTAGCCATACACGAAGCTCCCCATGGCTCTCTACCACTGTCCACTAAGCCCCAACCCTGATGGCGAATGCCCACAAGGCTAAGGCATCACTGCCGCAAAAGCAAACTGAGGAATACAGTCTAAATCACTGTATATGTGCTCCTCAGTGATTATGATCATATCTGCTCTATTTTCATATGCAAATGAAATTCTCTTGGGTATTATCAGAGAAAAGGATGCCCAGGGTAAATATAATGATGCAAGGAATTCAGATCAATTGTAATTTGAAAATGATAGTTTTTCCTCCCACCTCCATACCTAAGACTTACAATTTGTGAGTTAAATGAGAAAAATTCCATACATACATTATTAATAATACTGCTTGATTCTTAGCCTTTTAGACATTGATATATGACTACAAAAGAATTGGAAATCAGTTTACTCTGTGTGAGATAGCCACAGAATAAATGCATGTATGAAATTATACATAATTATGGCAGATCACAGAAACAAAACTATGGCAGAAGATACATTTCATATACAAGGCCAACCTAATGGGTATCATCATTCATCTTGCACATCTCCCCTATCATAGGCATTCCACCAAGGTCAAATGGTTCTGCTTTTTGTTATGGCAACAGACCATTCAATCTGGAGAGTGACAGGAGGCAAATATGATGAACTGGTATGAAACTGAGAAAAGCTAAAATATTTGTTAGTTTCCCCTAAAAGTCTCCCTGAGACAAGTCAACCTTATAATTCATACAGAAAAGGTTAAAAAACAATTACAATGCCAGTCTCAGCAGGACCTGGAAAAATTAGAACTTGTCCTTTCGGCTTGCTGTATCTTTGGCACTGCAAACTATCTGAAAAGCAAAGATAAAGCCAGACCTCTCCCTCCATGGAAAACAGTCTTGATTTATCACTCATAAGGTACTACTAAGTAGCTCACATGGAAAAAAGAAAATAATGCTGTCAGGATTTATTATCTAAGACTCCATAAAACTCACAGTTCCCTGCTAATACTGACTTTAATACTTCAGTTGGGCAGTTCCAAAACAAAAAACCTCAACCTGCAAGACCTTGGGATTAAACTTTTCTGCCTCACCTAAAAATGCCGAAATAACCATCTGAATGGATGAAGGCCCACAAACCTTAGGCAACTTCTGGGGGTGCTTCTCTGTCTTGGTACACAGCGTCAGCTCACACTGTAGAAAGAGCAGTGAGGTGTTGAAGACGGGCTTGAAGACAAAGCTGAATCGCTTCTTATCCATGTCGGCTTGCGGGATAGGAAAGTGCACTCTCCTGGGACTGTAGAATTTCACAGATTCATCTTTAGGACAAATGTTCTCAATAATGGTGTAATGAGACATCCTATCAGGGTTCGAATATGGAGAGATAAAGCACGTTTGGATGGCAAATCCCAGTTCTTGTTCAGCCTTAGTAACAGATACCTACGAGAGGACAGAACGAGGAATTAGGAAATGAGTTAGCATCTCACTTCCACTTTAGGCACAAGGACCATATGCCAACACAGCCCTTCAGATGACACGCTGCTTTATCTTCATACCATATGTATAGCCTTCCTTCTCATTACAGAAGTAACACACACAAACGTTGAAAGAAAAAGGTATTTTCCATTTCAATTTGATATGGATGGTGACAGTGAATTATTTCGTTCAAATGTTAGTCCGTTAGATTCAAATACAAGATGAGTAAGTCTCTTCCACCTCCCGGAGAGCTACAAATAAAAGCATATTTTGCATTTAAAGTGGATTTTCCAAAGTTAATAAAACACCAATAGGCAGAGTCCCTAATGCTTTAATAGTACAACACTTACAAGCTAAGCTCTTTTTTAAAATTGACCAAAAAATAGAGTTCAGTGGCCAAATCTACTTAACCTAGGCAGGAAGACTGAGCTTCTAAACTGCAAAAAGTCAGAGTAAGCCTGATGAGAGTCCTGCTTCACTGGTGAGAAGGCAGAGCTGGCTCCGGTGCCGGGTGTCAGTGACGGTGCAACCTGGAGGCCATCATGGGCCTGGTAAAGTGTCCCAGCTGCTGGCAGATCCAAATCAGCCTTGCCAAGTACTCCCCCTTCACTCCACAAGCCCAGGGGTAGTTTAGGGGAAATCTAATCTGGAAACGTTTCCGACTCATTTATACTTCCCCCTTTGAAAACATTTGTATGGGCTACGTCCAAATTTTGTTAAGGTTCTTTTCTTTAGAAACAGGAAGTAATGTTTAGCCAAGTGTAAACAGAATTCAAACCTCAACTATCCTAAACTTAGCTAAAATCCCCAGACCAGACTAGATTCTCCATTTGGTGACACGTGGATCACTGCATGAACTGCCCCTCCCTGCTATGCCTCATTCTTTGACTAAATTTAGGATCAAAATAAACTTTAACACTTGTAGAAACAGCTAAGTCCTTATCCATAGACCAGCAGCCCCAGAATCATTTCAAAAGCACGGAGATAGAAACAGACATTCCGCGCTGAGCTACCCAGGGGGAAACCCCTGACATCACATGGGGCTTTGAATCCACAGCACTGCTGTGAAAGGTTCCTACCTGGCGGTGAACTGCAGGACACTCAACAATGAAGATGCTAATGAAGAGGATGCTAAGAGGAAGTGTAAATACTAACACTTCAGTATTTTTGCAATACTTCTGAAAAACAAGATACTCTATCTTGGAAAGGTGGCAAATTACATATGTGCTATTACTAAAAACTGCCCTTTAACATGAACTCAGAACCCACATGCCAAAATGTGTAACACAGGGACCGCAAATCTTTTCTCTAATCTCAAAGGAAAGTATGTAGTGGCAGAATGTCTAAGGTATCCCAAAAAGGGATACCTTTGTAGCAGAGGGAAAATATATATATTATTTTTAAATATATTTTTACATACATAATTTATATATATAAATTATCAGCAAATCCTTTACTAAAAAAGATTTTACTTTTAGACCAGAAGTGAGTAGGAGAAGGACTACAGGCTTTGCAGTGAGACGAGCTCATAAAAACCACATGCTCTCCTGCTCACATGCTGGGCACTGAGACTCAGTTTCCTCACTTACAGAATGAGAACATGAATACCCACGAGATATCATAATTGTGAAAATCAGCAAAGTAAAAGTTACATGCAAACAACACAGCTCCCAGAGCATCAATAAATGCTACCTATTAGTAGTAGTAGTATTCTAGATTTAAAATTTTAGGTTATTAACAATTGGGTTTGGAAATTCCTCAACACAAATGAACCAAAAGAAAACTGCCATTATGTGACCAACAGTCACCTGAGATGACCAATGAACAGATGGCAACACTGTTAACTTGGATTATGAAAGGGACTGCATGGTGTAGAGGGAATAGAGGAGAAACTATGAGAAATATAGGTGATATATGAAAAGGCATAAATGGGAAAACAAGAATGGGGAAAAAAAAAAAACCTACCAATAACACTTTTCAAGTAAGTCAGCATTTGAGGGATGGGGGAAAAAACCCAAAATATCCAGGGTAAGGTACAGGAGGAAGACTGACCACTGATTAGCATAAATGAGCAAAGCCAGGCATAGACTTGGAAAAGAACAATCTGCAGTTATGCAGCACCCCTGAAATCCACAGCACAAGAGAGCTGTTGACCAACTGCCCATGTGAACTATACAGCCAGAAAAGCAAGAGAAAAACAGCCATCTTGGCTTAGGAAGAGCATGTAGAAGGCAGTATATTTTCCCCAATGGAGAAAGAAGGTGTGCTCAAAGAAAGAGAACTCTCAGAATGGGGGAGGGGCCGAATCCATATGATCAGGGAAAACAACATCTAGCACCAGCAGGCTCTGTCCCAGAGTCAGTGCAAATGTGAGAGTTATATGTCATTCCAAAACAGAAACACGTGCACCAAAGTCACTTTTAACATGCGCAAGTATCCCGCTTTGACCCTTTAAGCTTCTCACCCCTCCCACTATGAAGCTGAGCTTGCAGCTCAGCACCAAAACCAGCTCATTAGATGAGGACCTTCCCATAAGATCAACAGATGATATGCCCACTGGAAACACTAAGGTTGAAACATGAAAGTTCGTACCCAGGGCACAAGAAACAATAGACATCCTGGTGCCATAAGGACATTTATCTTTTCTAGAATCCAATCTCTGAACCTGGATGTTTGCACTGATAAGATGTTATGTTTTCTCCCCTTTCAAATGGCACTTTGGAGATAAATGATAGTCGTATCCAGCGAAGAACGGTCAGAGCTCTGGAGCCAGGCGGCCTATGAGCACTGAATCTGAACTCCACTAGTACCAGCTGTGTGGCCTCAGACAAATTTGTGCCTCAATTTTCTCATCCATAAAATGAAGGTATTATTAGCCTCCCTCATAGGATGGCTCTAAAGAGTAAGTAACCGCTGCAATACTTACAACTATGTTTGGCACATAATAAATCTGCAGTAAATGTTAGATGTTGTTATTTCATTATTACCACGACTGCCTAATATTCTGTAGTCACTCCAGATTCCAGATTTAGGCTGCAAATGATTATTAACATTATATATAGGAAATAGTTTTAATAAGTGTATACAGATACTTAGATCATGATCTAGAAAAAAATTTTTCATGAGTTATAATAGCACATAGCATTTCACTTAAAAGTGAGTGCAATTCAAAAGATAACAAGTCAGTTTCAGTGGCGGCAGGGACCCACAGGGATTTGGCTGCCATGCTGGGAGCCAAGGGGACTGTGCAGGGAAAAAGAAAAAAAAAAAAGATAACATATGAGGTGGTTTTGAAATATTCCATGGTTAACTCTAACACTGCAACTACTGAACGACTGTTCCAAAAGCAAAGGACAGGGCTTTACCAGTAGAATTCACACTTGCTAATTTTTTTTTTTTTTTTTTTTAACATTCGTCTACAAAACACTGTCTTCACTTAGCATAATGTATTACATCTTGAAATTTCCTGCTTTGGTCAGAAGTCAACCTGGAAGTGTTCTCTGAGCCAAGCCCACATCAGACCTGGTGAAGGTCTGTGAGGCAGGATAGGAAGAGGTCTGTACAGGGTATTTTAGCTGATGACTAAGGAACTACAGCTCAGCGCTAACCTAAAAGCTCAAGGCTAACTTTCAGGTCTCACCTCAACATAAACGTGTCCATTCTCTGCCACAGAGAAGACCCCCTGGGAGGGCACCAAAAAGAGGTCAGTGTTGTAAAGCTCCATGTTGAAGGTGATGTTTCCATGGGGCTGTTCCTGGAAGCTGCTGGGGTTCCTCACCTGCTGCAGGCTGCAGTTAAACTGGAAAAAACAATCCACAGGAAGATTAATGACAGTCACATGAAGGATGAAGGCCCTGTAGCTTCATGAGCTTTAGCCTTTAACATCTGATTTTATTTTCAGATAGTCCCTAACTAAAAACAAAATAGACAGCATTTTCCACAAACCCCCCGCTGATAACAAACACGTACCACCACAATTTCAGGTCGGGTGAACAGGGAAGCATCTCCTTCATCCACATCTCCCGGAAATCCATTATCACCTGACTCCAGATCTTCATAACCATCTGGCCAACCACTACTGTCCCCAAGGGCTGGAACCTGTATCACAATCTAAAAGGCAAAGAAAGCACAGCCAGTGTTATAAAAATGCCAAACCATGTGCATTTGGTTCTGCCTCACACAAACACTCATGTAATGATTCTGATGCAAATTGAAAATCTGACTTTAAGACAAAAAAATAAAATAAATAACCTCCAAGCTTTTTCGAATTTTATCTTCAAAGTGATGAAGAATAAGGAGAAGCCCAATGCAGGTTCAAGTTAAAAGCTAAACTAGTATTTGTATTGTCTTGTGAAAAATAAATATTTATGTTGTAACCATATTGAATAATGACGAATGACTTCAAATGATGGGAAAACACTAGATACTAGAATGGAGTTGCATGGAGTTGTCAAGAGGCTTGCCTATACCGTGAGAAGGGGCTTCCCCTTAAGAGTCTTTATATTAAAAACTGTAAGACGTACTAAGTTGGTGAATACAAGGAGCTTCGTTATATATATCCTTTAAGAGTTGTAGAAAGTTTGGTAGAAGTCAGCAGCGAAGGACCTAATGTTTACTATGGAGCACATCTTCTCTTCATTGCTGTGCTCTCGTACCCCTCTAACTTTTGCTCATTTCTTCCCTAAGAAATCCTTCTCTATGGTGTATGGATGTGGAAAAGAATATGTTTTATTCCAGGAATCTTTTTTTTCCATCTTTTTCACTATCCACCTGCAGATATATTCCAGGAATCTATCTTGACATAGGTTTAAAGTATGATTCCTGGATTATTTCTAAATAGGATGAGAAAATTCACCCAAGGGTTGTGACTCCAAAAATGAAATCCTAATTTCTCTTGCTTCACATGCTTGGATTCTGAACATGCTATAAAATAGAAATATATAGTAAGTCTGAAAATTACTACAATTACAATTGGTGAGAACAGCTAAAATAGTCCCCGAAGAGAGTAGGATGGGAAGAAAAAAAACAAAAAACAAAAAACTGCCTTTCTCTCTGTACCAGGTGCTCCAAAGAAAGTACTGACGCCAATTAAAGGAAGCATCTAGGATATTGCTAAACTCGAAGATCATAATAAAGAAAAGAAAAATATGTGAGAAAGAAAAGGAACTTTAAGGGATCATTACATGCCTTTCTCTCCTGAAGCAACTGGCACTTTTTTTTTTTTTTTTAACTTAACGGACATATTACTGTAGCCACTTGTTGGTGTTAACTTGGACCACAGTTTTAAAATGCCATAATCAAGTATTTCAGTATTATATGACATTCATTATATCTGTAGACACTGGATAACTGAAAGAAAATTCATGCTGTAATTATCAGGAGGTCAAATGTTAATAAAGTAATGATTTGAGTAACAAAAGGAGATTAGCAGGGCCTAGCCTGGTGTCTAGGAAAGATTAGGGGACGAGAGGTCAGGAAGTTGGATTCAGTCGTCCTGGCTCTGCCATGAGCCCATCCCTGGAGTTTAAAAAAGCAAGTCTTTTTAACTTCTTGGAGTTCAGTTTCCTCACCTGGTGAAATGAAGCTGAATAAGCTCATCTTAGGTTCTTTGCGGCTCCAACAATCTAAGATTCTCTGAGGAACAATATACTTGGGCTCATGGGAGAGCCATTTCTCACAGGAACTGCGCTGACCAGAGCACCGGATTGCTAGCCTCTCTTCTCTGGATTGGGTCAAACTAGCAGCCACAGCTCAGCCACCCCATGTCAAAGCTGGATATGGCACTAAGAAGACACCACCTCCCCACCCCAACCCAACCTGTGTCAAAGGTGGACACAAGGATCTCTGAGCCTTATTTTTAACATTAAAAGTAAAACCCAAAATGTAAAATCAGCACTTTAAAGTTCTTCTGAAATGAGTTCAGGGTAAGTACATCCATTTTGCTGAGAACTGACACTTGGCTTTGTTCAGGCCTGGGGTAAAAACCCTCTTCATCTTCAAAGAAACGTTAAGTCTAATTTTCAGGGAGCACACAGCCAGGCTCTGGCAAAGGGCAAAGCTTTGTTCTGGAAAACACTCACAGAGTTATAGTAGACCACACCATCGAGGGCTGACCACCGGGGCCGCGTACCACAGCCATTCAGGGGAGACTCCAAAACAAAGTGTGTGCCATTCATCTTGGCCTTGCAGGTAGGATCCAGCAGGGTGACGTCCATCCCCGAGTAGCCACTGGCCTAAAACAACAACCACCGAAGACATAGTCGGAGGCCCACAGGCTGTTCTGTTGCATAACTGACACAATTGACAACTGCCTGGTCTTCCAAGGACAGGCAACAAGAGGCCTGCATCGTTCCCTTCCCCACATATCTCTTCCCAGCTGCCCACCTCTCAACAGCCCAAGGGTAATATCTGTTGGCCTTGGCAATTCAATAGCAAAATATTGACACACGTGGATCTGGAACCCCCCCGTCACTGAGAACAACAGGAACCGGGTGAGAATCGCAGCCAAGGGGAAGTAGGCCCATCCAACTGAGAAAACAGTATCAAGCCTCCAGAGTTCAAAAATGAAAGAGATAGGGAGAAATTACAGATGCAGACTGGGGCCAGATGGGAAAGGAGGTGGCCTCTCTTCCCTCCTGTAAGCAGCTGCACTGACCTGAAAAGAATCTTTTTCTACAGCCACGATCATCTTCTCATTGTCACATTTGACAGACAGGGCAATATCCACGCTCCCTTGCACCTCTTCTGGCTCTCTGAGACCAGGAAACAGCTGTATGCTGGGAATGACAGGGTCCTTTGGCCTAGGGAGCCCATCTTCTCCCTCTTCATTCCAGACTCTCCTGGAAATATCTGGGAAAGGAAAGGGAAGGCCTCCATTTTGGCCTCCCCCTCCCTGGATGGGTGGGTTCTGCAGGGCAGGCAGGGCACCAGGGTCCAGCAGGATCCGCAGCTCAGGAGGAATAGTGTGGACTTCCTCATCTCCCATCTCCTCTGCTGGTGACAGAAGGCAAAACATCATCAGTGTTTGATGCCAGGCCACCACCAACATTATTACAGGCAGAACAGGAGGAATTAGCATAGAATGGGCAGGTGTAAAATGACTTTTAATAAGCAATGTATAAAAGTCATTAGAAGTCTAGAAGCCTGAATTCTAGTCCTGCTGTTCTCTCTAACTAGCTCAGTGGCTTTGGGCAAGCGGCTTGCTTCTCTGTGCCTCAAATTTGCTTTTCCAATTTTTTAAATTAAGCAGTTGGAAATGATTAGTGGTTCTTAACTTTGGCTACACATGAAAATCACTTGGGAGCTTTAAAAAATATTCCTATGCCCAGGTTGTACCCCAAACAATTTAAACTCAGACTCTCTGGGGTGGTACCCAATCATTGATATGTTTTAAGCTCCCCATGTGTAACTTCAATGTGCACCTAAGGCTGAGAGCCAATGGAGGAGACAGTTTCTAAGGCTGTCCAAGCTAGAAAAATCTGTGATTTGAGTAAGTTACATGGTGCAATATTATTCCACTCAAATGCCACTAAAATACTTTCCTTGAATCAAGAGATTCTTTTGAATAGTTTCTGTAAGGATGTCTTGAAACAATATTGGTATGTGAAAATTACTTCGCCACCTTCTTTTTGACAGCTAAATTTTAACAGGTATCTGGGCACCTTGGCCTTTTAGAATGTATTCCCTTGAAAGTTAAGAAAGAGCTGCGTAGACACATTCATTCCTTCAAAGGGAGAGATGTATTTCCATATAATCAATAATCAATATTTTTTCATATTTCTAACAATTAAAATAATAATTTCCCCAGTTTTCTTTATATCTACTATCTAAGGCCAACTGATGTATACTTGAGGTCAAATCCATCTCAGTGGAAGCTGGAAGTGAAGATGACAGTTGGACATTATCTCTCCTTTAATAGTATTCTTTGGAAAGGACGCTAGAGCTGTAAGGGTCTAAAATAAGTCATAGCTTTGTAGGGTTTTTAATCTGTACTTTCACAAAAACCTTCACAACAACCCTGTAAGGTCAGTCCTATTATTTTCACCTTATTACTGAAGAAAAATATGTGGCTCAGAGGTGAAGCGACTTCTCCCCAAACAGTGACTAAATGGTAGAGCTGGGGCTTGAACCTGTACTCCTCATCTTTATTCTATTGGCATTTCACTCAGTGGCGGTATCATGAGCTGAGGAACAGGTCTAGGGATCAGAAAACTAGGCTTTCAAGTCATGCTAGCTATAAGACTCCAGAAAACCTCAAGAATTTGTTAAGCCTCGGCTTTCCACCCCATCCAACTGGGATAGTAACTCCTGCCTTCCCTCTGGGTATGAATGCCCAAGTATGAGTCCTCGTGACTATTTTCCTAAAAGATACAGCCTTTGACCATGAACTTCTTTCCTGCAGTCTTAACTCTTCTGTATTCTCAGCCATAAGTGGCCATTAGGTGCCTCAGAGAGAAGAACCTAATGTAGTCACACTGAAGATAACCTATAACAAAGCTCTCTGAATATGCATTCAACTCTATGTCACTGAAAATCTGTATTACAGTTTCCTCAAAATCTCTTTCTAGGTAATTTTAAGCCTTCTGATAAAAAGTAGTCAAATTATTAAAATGTGCAAGAGAAAAACAGCAACATATAAGCTGAAATGACAGTTCCTCACTGGAAAAGCTTCATTTGGAGGATATTTTTTATATAACTTAAAAAAATTCTAACTTACCATGATTTTCAAGCCGAAGATGAAATCTATTAGCCACAGGAGCCATTGTGTATGAAGTTATTGGACTATAGCCATTGTCCAAAGCCCACTTCACCAGATTCCCTTGGGTTGAAGGAATGTCATCTCTTATTGATTTGGTCATTGTCATAGATCTTTCACTCTCTTTTCCAAAGCCAATACTGTTAGGAGCCTGAAGATATAGCAAAAAAATTCACTCATGAGTCTAAAATTAAACAGCACTTTAGATAATAAAAATTAAATATCTGAAATAAGTAGATTCTGTATTGTGTATGAGTGAATTATTTATTCTTTTGACCCCTATTTTCTTTGGGCTAAGAACGATGATGTGAAAAACCTTTAATAGCAGATGACATCTACGCATGCTGCTTGATCATACTATTTGTATTGCCTATGCTGATAAAAAAATCATCCAGTGACATGTAAGTAGTTACATAGTAAGTATACCTAGCTATAACTATACAGTTAGTCTAATGTTTAAATGATTAACACACACAGTAAATATGTATAATAAGCTTTCCCTTTTTACTTAAAATGACATATGAAGAATACAGACAGACATGTTATATTGCCCTCAAATTTCCATACTTCCACTTCCTATTCCCCTAGATTTCAATGAAAGCAGTCAGTTACACCCACTTAACAATGGAGATATGTTCTGAGAAATGCATCATTAGGTGACTTAGTCATTGTGTGAACATCATAGAGTGTACTTACACAAACCTACATGGTACAGCCTACTACCTACCTAGGCTATATGGTACAGCCTATTGCTTCTAGGCTACAAACCTGCACAGCATGTTACTGCACTGAATACTGTAGGCAGTAGTAACACAATGGTCGGTATTTGTGCATCTAAACATAGAAAAAGTACAGTAAAAATATGATATTACAATCTGGTAAGACCACTGTCGTATATGTGGTCCCTCACTGACTGAAATATATATGCTCAAGACTGTACTTCAGTGTGGAGACTATCCCATCTATATAAACTGTTAAATTCCACATGGTAAAACAACCAATGTTTATATTTCATCTAAAATGTATGATCAATGAGCAATTCTATAATTGTATTCATTTGCCAATTCTATTAACCAAATATACTTACGTCTTCTATTCTAAATATTAATTAATTTACGTTACTCTCCCCTTAAGTATCACTATTTTATCCAGTAATACAAGTAGGTCTTAAGATTAGCTTTCAGAGATAAGTGCAATAGCTCACACCTATAATCCTAGCATTTGGGGAGGCTGAGGAGGAAGGATTGCTTGAGCCCAAGAGTTTGAGACCAACCTGCGTAACACAGTAAGATCCCATCTCTACAAAAATTTTAAAATTAGCCAGGCATGGTGGCATTTTCCTGCAGTCCCAGCTACTCAGCGGGCTGAGGTGGGAGGATCACCTGAGCCCGTGAGTTAGAGGTTGCAGTGAGCTATGGTCATGCCACTGCACTCTAGCCTGGGTGACAGAGTGAGACCCTGCCTTAAAAAAAAAAAAAAAAAAGATTAGCTTTCACTGGATAATCAATTACAAAATAAAAATGATAGAAATATTTCTGGGAAAGGATATAAATGGACTCTACTCAACCAGGTTATTCAACAAGGACATGGAAGGTAAATTTATACATCAACTGCTGACTCCTGTGGCAGTGTTCTCATCAGAGGGTGAGAAAGCTGAATGCTGCAGAGGGGACCCCAAAGGGAAGGCACCATATTTTCAACAACTGCACCAACAGGGCTGGAAAGCCCTTCCAGCATGCAGATTACACCATTTTCATGCTGTATAAAAATCACTTTAATTTCCATGCCCAGTGATTTTCTCCTGCATGCATGCAGCATTTTTCCTAAATTCCTCATTTGTTTCCCATTCTGTTTGCCCCTAACATGACTAAATATTAATCCTTTCCCACTGTAAAACCCTAAAAGATTCACAGGCTCCAAGTTCCCTTGGCCTATGTGGTTGTGGGACATTGGCTGAAGCCACATATATTTCAACTCAAAGCTTAAAGGATCTCATTCAGTATATTTTTCTATTACCTAAAGTGCTTATGTGTGGGAATACTGCCAGACTCACCAGTCACAAATACTACAAGCAAAGGAACCAGACAGAACTTTAACCAACTTCTGCAGTCATTTGTAAACTCAGTTTAATAGATTCAGAATATTTTAGCTCTTACTCCAATTCAGAAAAAATCTCCTTAGGGTAAAGAAGGGCTAGGGAGGAAAGAAACAAAAAAGGATGGAAGGAAAGAAGGAAGGAAGGAAGGAAGGAAGGAAGGAAGAAAGGAAGGAAGGAAGGAAGGAAGGAAGGGAGGGAGGGAGGGACGGAGGGACGGAGGGAGGGAAGCAAGGAGGCTAAAATAAGATAATGAAAGATCCAATTTATTCTTAGAAGTTTTTATTCATTTAGTCAAACAGTAGTTTTTTAGGTACAGCTTCTTCCAGCCTTTCAGAGCTACATGTCATTTTGATTGGCTGGAATCACAATTGGCCTAAACAATACTGCTTGCTCTCATCTGCCCTAGTCTTTCATGTTGTTGGACAACTGAGAAAGTATCATATTTCCAGAATACTATCATCATAACTGCCACCTGTCCTTTTGCACCAATGTGGAATGAGCTGTTTGCACCTTTCCACATTAAATCTAGGAGCTGTCAATACATGTCATTTTGATTATGTCTGGGAACTTAAAAGACTCGACATCTATCTACACATTTGTAAAGCAGCAAGGCTTGGGACAATGGCAGACAAGCTGGTGGTTCCCAGCTTTGAGCAAATTCTCACATTGTACCTCTGGAAGTCCCTAGGCTTTTTCCAGCTTTAGTGGAGCTATTCCAAATGCAGGTGTACAAGGGGGTCTCCAAAAACCACCACCATCTTTTCCAGCCATATCTTCATGAAAGATGAGGAGTTGAGTCTAAGTGCCTCCACAACCCCCCATATTTGCATCTGAACTGATGGCATAGGGGAGGGAGGACTAGGGAAAGGAATGGCCAGAAAGCGTAGTGCATATGCCCACTGGGATTTTAAAAAATGTCTTCTTTAGGAACAAGCTGTCAATCATCAACCCTGAAGTTCTGAGGCCACATGAAATAACATAAGAGGAAACCTCTAACACGTTTCCTCCATCTATTCTTTTATGTTTTAGAGGTTCTTCCTACCATAAAAGTGATTATGCATAGTCCACAGAGGACCTGAGAAAAGAGCCAGAGCTGGACAAGGCAATGTAGACACCTCCAGTGTTCCCATTCTTGCCCACTGCCTGGCTCTTTGCACCTCTTTTGACCATTTCGTCATCTGGAGGGCACATTCTGCCTATGCCCCACCCCCGACACACACATGCATAAGACATCCATGTTTAATGGTGCTCTTCTTTAAATTACTCCATCAGGCTCCTTACAACTCCCTTAGTAGACTTTTTTCTTTCTTTTCACCTTATTTGGAGAAGTGCCTTAATTGTTCCTATAGATACCTGAAAGAGTTATTTATGGAAGGAAGATGAACCCCCTTTCTATGGCAGGCACGCTGCTAGGCATGTATTATTTTATTTCTCTTCCATAATATAAGGAGACAGGCATTACTATTCCTGTTAGAGAAGGAGAACCTAAGACTCACAGAAGCAACACATGTAGCTGAGAACTTACATGTGCAGGCCCTGTGTCCAGTGCTTTAGATGAAATATCCTACAGGCCCTTAACAAGTACTTGGCGAATAAATGAACAAACAAATGAACTCAGCTAATGAACCACAAACTCAAGGTGAGTACTATCATCATACCCATTTCACAGATGACCAAACAGACTCAGTGTTCATCAGTTAGACTGCACAATATCTACTAGGAGTAGTAATCATTGGAGATGGGATTTAAATCTAGCCCTGTCTGGCACGAAGTCAAGATTCTTTCCATTCCACTATGCTGTCTCTAAAGGAAACAACTAGAAACAAGGTTTCTATAAACCACTGCCCCCTTTCTAAACACTAATTTAAACTTTTGTAGGAGGTCACAGTGGGATTGCCTTTCCGTCACAGCACAGTCAGAATTCACATCTGAAACAGGGAATTAGAAAATCACAAAACATCAACTGGTTGGGAGAATAAAAAAGAACATCATGAAACATTACCTAATTGTTTAGTAATGTTGTCATGCATTGTCCAAAATTGGCCTGGAACAAGAGTACAGCCAAGGAGAGGAACATAAACAGATCTTGCACTGGGATGAGCAATCTCATTTCTAGCCTTTCTGATTCATATGAGAGATGGGGACATTCAAAGTGAACTCCAGGACTGCCATGGGCCACGCACACATACTCAGGGAGAGAAAGAGCCATTGAAGGGTCAAGGCTGAAAGAATATTTACACAAGAACTCCAGCAGGGAATTAAAATGTACCGTATGTTTTTGCCTTTCAAAGCATGATTCCCTTTCCTGTTTTTGTTATTCTGAAATTAAAAACATTTGGCCGGTGTGCCAGGCAGCAAAAGCAGCAGACAGCCCAGGTCACCAACACCCCTCATGCCATGCCAGAGAAGGCAATCAAAACATCTCTGACTTCAGATCATGGCTAGGCTTTGGGCTTGACAACAAATTAATGTATCACCATTACATATGATGGCTCAATGGGATCCTAGCAAAGTTTTTAAAAAAAAAAAAAAAAAAAACAACCCACGGGAACCAGAAACGATTACTTTAAAATTAAAATATGTGTGCTAGTGGTTTTGCCTGCTGCCTCTGGTGAGTGCTTTTACCTGACGTTGCCAAGGGAACTGTTGGCTTTGCTCACTGTGGTATCACATGGAAGGTGCCACGAATGAATGAATAATACCAAAACCAAGGGCATCCCTCTCCCAAAATACTGAAAACATAAAACCCACTTCAACTTATTCAGTGCAGGTACTAAAAGAGAAATTGGCCAAAAAAAATTTAAAGATGATGCATAAAAATTTGAGCCCACAAAAGAGATACTAAACAGATAATTATCTTCTTAAAAAACAGGGAGGAGGATTTTTCTTTAACTTTCAATAATTCAGTCAAATAGTTATTGCCTAAGTATATTTGAGATAAGATTTACTTTACCAAGTTTCAACATTCAACTTTTGAGGAAACCAGCTGCTGTTTGCCCATCATGCCAATGGGCTAAGCCTCGTGCGTACATCTCTATTACATAGAGGGCCTTGGGAACAAGCTGGAGTAGACTTGTCCAGCATGATTTCACTGACTTCGCAGTTACTGTGATTCTTCTATCAGTGTTTCACACTTAGGAGTTGGAAGCAAGCAAAAAGCCATGCCAATATTTCATATTTAACTCAAAAAGGAAAGTCAACGATGTGAGCTGGCATCAGCCTAATTTCCCATACTTTCTCTAAGTACCTAATTCCGTAATAAAAGCTGATATTCGGAACTGTGACACTGAGGTCCTTGTGGGACACTCATTATGAAGGCTCAATTGTGTTCATTACTTAACACTTACTATTAGTGGAAAGCATACTAATGTATTTCAGGAATTTCACAAGTGAGGGAGTGGGGGTTCAGAGAGGTTAGGGGACTTGCCAAAGGTCACAGTGGGATTACCTGGACTCAGACCTGGGTCTGTCTTAATCCGAGGCCATGTTTTAATGACCACACCTATTTTATAGGAGCATCCTATTTTGCAAAGTGAAAAATAATTGACAAAGCTTAGAGAGTCCAAAGAGGGAGAAACTCTAAAAATAACACATATAAGTACAGCTTAAATTGCTGTCATTCATCTAAACAAAACAAAAGACATACTCAACCAACTTACAATAATTTTCAGGCTTCCCTTAACATCAAAAGATTTGATCACCCAGTTGACAGACTTTTTGCACTTCAAGATCAGGATGAGATTTTTGACCACCTCAAGATTCTCTTGAGAAGGTCTTATATCAATTGTTATATCCACCTGGAAAGCACTGTGAATGGAAAACAAAGGCAAAGTTAAGACCTACATGCCAGAAAGTTGCAACTATCTCCCCTCTTCCAAGTCTTCATGTTTCTAGTGTCTGGCCAGTTGATTAAAAAGCTGGAGTTGATCCCAGGCCAATGACATGTGCAAAACAGATTGTTATTGCACACATAACAAAATTGTTTTACATAACAATAGAAACATATGCTTGCTGATAATTAGTCACTAAAGTTTTTCTCTTCTTTGGTGGAAAAGAGGTGGTTACTTAATGCAGCCACTGTTTGAAATGGACTTGAATGAACCAGAAGAGTTTACTTTTGAAGCAGTATTGTTGCCTTTTCAACCTTTAACACCTTTGATGTACAGGATTCCCATTTGGCTATATGCTCAAATTCCTTCAAAACCGAAGTAGGTGGCAGTTTGGTGAGTTGTGGGAGGGTGGTGTGGGGAGAAGGGAAGCACGGTGGTAAAAAAAAAAAATTAGGAAACTTCAGAGTAAAATAAGAGACAAAAGGCTAAAGAATTTCTTGATTTATATAAGGTTTGCTTAAGTCATTAACAATTGCTACAGAATCATATCTGCATTTACTTTCCCAAACTTCTGGATATAAGGTTATTAAAATAAAGAAAACAGATGGTCAACCAAGTGATTACTGGAAAATTGATGAACACAACCCAAACTTCTAAGAATTCGTATAAAAGAGAATTTTTTACTAAACAATAACATCCCTGTCGTTCTGAATTTAAGGGAACAGTCTTTCTTTCCATCTCAGCTTTACACACTTGTAAATCATAAAAAGGATGGTATACTCCAATGAAGCCTCAGGCCTGACATCGAAGCACATTCACCAGACTGCTCCTACTCCCATTCCCTTTTCACTTTCCACAAAATTCTTCAAGTGGACAGAGTGGAATCTTACCAAAACTGATCTGTAGCTTACACACTTTTAAAGTCAAACACTGATTAGAATTTTAACCTCGAAATCCCTCTACAATATAAATTTAAAATTTTAAGTCACTAGTCCAGATTCAAAGGAAGGAGGGTAAAATGCAGGCTAATGTGGGAAAAGAACCTACTTTTTCTCCTTTTTCTTTTTTTTAAATTCCCTAATTATTCTTGATAGGGAGGGTCGAATTTCCAGTCCAGTGGTAGGAAGCTGAGAGGGAGAACAAGCGCACAAGGGAGACGCAAGTTCTATCAAATGGCTCTTTGGTATGTCACTATGAAGGGCCACTCCAGCATACACACACACACACACGCGCGCGCACGCACACACACACACACCAAGCACATAAGGGAGAGGCAAGCTCTATCGAATGGCTCTTTGGTATGTCACCATGGAGGGCCACACCAGCACACACGTGTGTGCACACACACACACACACAGAGATTTAAAGCAAACAGCTCTGAGTGCCTAAGTGCTCTGAGGACACCATAAACAGAGCTTTATTAAAACCAGAAGGTTACTAAGATGATAATTACATTAATAGGGTATATTTTGTAATTTTTCTATCAGGGATAACCTTAGTCAGAGGTGATAAAGACGGAGCAAGAGTGACTGTGTCCTGTAATTAACACCCAGAAGTTCAGAACAGGTTTCAGGAATTCATATGAAATATCTGGGATCTAGGGACAGATGCAAAATATAAAATATACCACCAGTGCCTTTACTCTCTTCTTCAAAGCTTCTGTGAAACACATCTGACGAAAC